ACCGAGATACAGCCTGAAGATGCGGCCCGGTCCTGCTAAAGGAAGAAAAGACTCGAGGAAATTCTGCTAATCAGCGCTTAGTAGAAACTTATAATCTGCATAATTTATGAGCTTTGTGAACTTGTGAGTCCACTGCTGGACCCCAACTGGACCAGCAGCCTCCATTAACAGAGGAGCAGAGCTTTTACAGTCTCCTTTACTGTCTCCTACTAAAAATAGCAGTTTTGGGTGGAGTGTGAGTTTAATGATAACATCCATAATTTGGTTTTATAAGCCAATAACGCCCACCCAGCTCCATAAATCTCTCTGAAACTCAACTGTGAACCGCATTAAGTCTTAAAACATTGATACGTGCCATATGATGCCAGAACGGTACCCGACTTACGCAGCTGACTTTGGGCCAGAATGCTTTTACAAAACTCAACAGGCATAAAGTCCTGAATGACCTTCACATTTTCACTTTTTTTTTTGGCCAAACTAAATTTTCTAAATGGAACTTAAAGAATTGGCATCGCAGCTAAAAGTCGGCCGTTAATTTTAACTAAATTAGTTGAGATAATAAACGTGATTCATGGATGGAGCTTCCAGTGCAGCAGGTCTCCTTTTTGGCAGCTGGTTTTGGGGAAACCTGGGCGATATTGGTGCACACAGAACGTTTCTGAAGATGTTTTACGAGCATTAAAAGCAAGAGATGAACAAATTACATTCGGCGCAACAACATGGAGCCCTGAAGGGAAGTTGTTTCAGAGGGACTGACGCTGAAACCTCATGTTTATCTTTCATGTTTCGGGGTTTTTATGAGATTACGTCCGCATGGGATATGAATGAAATGTAAAATACGCAAAACTGCGTCATCACACACACACGGTGTGGAATCTGGAGAGCACATTGAAGCCACTTTTTTTTGTGTGTGTAAAAGAGTTTTGCAATGTTCACAAAGGCCCCTGGGTAGAGACCTAATCAGCCCGGCTGCTGAATTATGCATGACAATAATCTCTAGACCGATCACTGGAATGTATCAGCAGCGCTCTTATAAGCAAAACTCAATTACACTTTCAGATAAATACTCAGGCTTAGGTTCTTTTTGTACATGTGTTTAATTGATGTTTTCTTCTTAAAGACGCTGTTGTGATGCTCCTTATTTGCTAATCTCCTTCTGACAGCACTGGTGATGACAGAAATTTACATATTTAAGGCCACTAACAGTCTGAAAGGATGTGTATAGAGCTCAGCCCTGCTTTGTTAAGGCCTGATTGTTGTGTTTGTGCATGCAGCACAACTCCGTGTGGGCGTCCACGGTGAGCCTAAAGTTCAAATCTGTGGAACTTTGACTTGAGCTGTGCTGACAAGCGCGGATGCATCATGCTTGAATAGACGAAAAAGTAATTAACCTCACATTAAAGGTTTACAGTAACAAATTGAACTTGAAAAAACTGCCTCTTGGCAAAATATCCACATGCAGATGCAGCGAGCAGGTTGGTTACAGAAACACTGTATGAGTCTCTGAAGCGTAATAATCGACCTCAAGCAACTTTTGCAACACAAAGTGATGAATATTGCAGATCATGTAGTGTAAGATCAGACTGTATAGAGATGGACAATATGCCAACATTTCATCCTACTGCACAAAAGTGAAGCCAAAATATCTCTGAAACAGGCACTGCTGCCGTCATTTGCAACCAGTTTGGTCAGTAGTGATAATAATGATTCCACCTCCGTGCCGGCCCAAAACGCAGCTGGCATTGAACTAAGCATAGCTGCTGCAATCTTTACTTTCATGGACACTCGCTGTACACTTCATCATTTCCTAGATTTAAAAAAAAAAAAACTTTAGCTGCAGCTCGTGGTCCATCTATCTCGCTATATCTCTCTCAGCGACCACTTAGTTGACTGAAAAAGCTGCAAACATCCCCAGATGCCTCAGAACATTATTTCGTGCAGTTTACTGCAGAATGACTCATTTAGTGGTTTAAAACACAAGATAAACCACACAGTTAGTGGGTGTGTCAACCAAATAGTTTTTTATTCCTGCAGCCAGGGTATTTTTTCAATTATCTGCAATGGAAGCATGTTTACACCATGATAAAAACGCGGCATCGTGACAAGGTGTCTACTGAACACTGAGCGCATCACACTTGCAGTTTTTTTCTGGTTATGAGAGTTTAAAAAGATTTTTCAACTTTGGTTAAAACGCCGTCACTTTTTACTCCCCACCTGTTCAATCACAGTGCAGGAGGGGCGGGACAAAGACCAGACTGACCCAACGTCACGAACAACAGCTGAACTAGATGTTAATACTGTTGTTCTCTAAGTATCCAAGTCCGCACCAGGTGATACTCCTGGATTACTACAATAATAAAATGAATGCTTGGAGGAACATTCTGTTCACCATACCAGGTAAGCAGCAGTCAGCTGAGTCATCCAGTTGATTGGTACTTGCAGCAAATTACTTCTGCAGATATTCCTCATCATAGCAACCAAAGCGTCTAAAGCACTCCCAGTTGGGAGTTTTTTTCGAGGAGCTTCTGGCTTTTTCAGCTGGCACACAGCCTTCAGGAAAGGAGAGGTCCTTTTATTTTCTTAAATACAGTTCCTGAGCAGATGTCCACAGGTGAATCCACAACTGTTTTTTATTCACATCAGCTGTTATCATAAGGACATGCACCCTTTTTATAATATCAAGTAAGATAAGCTTTTATTAATCCAACGGTGGGGAAATCTGCAATGTTACAGCAGCGACACTGACAGTGCAAAGATGTGGGGACAGCGGTGGAAAAATAAACAAGAAATATACATAAGTACTGCTAATAATGTACAGATTCAATGATATTTAGAAATGTAGATATTGCACAGATCCCTCTTTATGTGGAAAACAATGATATGCACAGGATTATTCGAATTTGTAAACAAAGATTGATATTGCTCAGATTGTAGTAAAAACTGATATCTGTAACATTCAAGGGAAAATTAGGTATTTAATATGACAGAAACCATATTTTGGAAAAGTATTTTTGGGCTATCTCCTAACATGGAGGGGCGGGGCTTATGACATGTGCTGCAACCAGCCACCAGGGGGCGATATATACATTTTGACTTCACATCTGTCTTTATATTATTACAACCTATATGCAAAAACAACTAAGTAATGATGCTGATCATCAACACTGAAACACAAACTAAATGAGACGAACTCACAGTGAAGCAACGTAAAACAACCACAAACAGACGCAAATCATCCACAAAGAGACACAAAATGACGGCAACATGTTGCTGCTAAAGAGCTGATGCAAAGCAGCTCATACAAAATAGTCTCACAAAGCCAAACCCATTCATGTATGAAATGGTCTGACGGCATTTAATCATCGTTCTACTATCAGGGGGATTGTTGGTGTCTCTTTACACCAATCACAATTGTCTTGGGAAGGACGCCGAACAGGATGCAACAAAGGCGTTCACTCCAAATAGTGACGGGAGCATTGTTTTGGTGAAACATTTGCATGTGGGCGGCGAGCATTGTCATTAAAACAGATAATTGCTTTAAAAAGCCTGCAGGGTTGCTTTATTGCACAAGGTTGCTGGCAAAAGGTGACTGTTGTTGTTTCTCATAATGAAGGGGGTTCTGAAGCGGTAACACTCGGATAGAGCAAGAGGAGGAGAAACATGTAGCAGATAGCAGATTTACACCCACAGTCAACATCCAGTGAGTCAGACTATGTGCAGAACAACCACAAATGGATGCAAATCGTGCACGAAGATGCACAAAGAGTGGACGCAACCACAAAGTAGTCTGATACAGCAGTGTGTAGAATGGTCTGACTGCACTTCATCATCATTCTGCTATCGGGGGGGAAATGCTCTGGTATGCCTGTATTCTATAAAGCAATCATAATGGGTGGAGTTCTGACTGGGAATTGTTTTGGTGCAATGAAAACAGCAACATACAAACACTGGATGGGGAGGAGGAAGGCTCATACCCACAGTCTACATCCAGTGAGTCAGACTAGGTGCAAAACAACAAAATGATCCAATCGTGCAGGAAGAGACACAAAACTCGGATCTCAAAATCAATATCCAGGTGTCACCACGACAACCTAATATTCGGGTATTCGGGTCCAGCCCAAGTAACATCACATACCTCCTGTCCTATCGTTAGTCAGGCACAGCAAGTTTGTTACTGCAGCCACACTTGTTTACACGATGCACGACGCAGTTTGATGATGTCATCAAATGTAGGCGAAATGTAGGCATTAGAGGTTTTCATTATAGGCAAAAAAACAACAAAAAAAGCTATAACAACATTGACCAATGTTACATTTTTATGCCAATTTCTAGTGCTCATTGATGCAAAACAACTGGGACAATGTAGTCTTGCATTACCAGACCATTCACCAGCACTGACCTCATCATCATTCTGCCATCGAGGGACAAAAACTTCAGCATGATTATATTTCTTTTAAGCAGTCACAGTCTTCTTGGGCAAGGCTACGAACAGGACACACCATACAGTGATGCTGAAATTGTTTTAGTCGAACATTTGCATACCAGCAGTCCACATCTGGTGAGTCAGGATATGTGCAGAACAACCACAGACAGATGCAACACGGTGCAAAATGACTAGCTGTCAAAGAGCTGATGCAAAACAACAAATACAAAGAGCAAAGGAAAAACCCCAAGAAGGGGGCCTTTAAAGAGCCCCTCTGCACCCTGACAGTCTGGGCCCCCCTCATTCAAAAGTTTGTGAACCCGCCCCTGCTCTCAGCTGTGAAGTTTGCCTGGTTCTGCTGCTGTCAATCACACATTACATCACCGGCCACCGATCATCAGGTGCGACACACAAACCACCCACGCGAGACATGATCTTATCAGCCTCTTGTCTCTCCTGCATGATTGATCAGTCATGATCAGAGGGCGCGTGTGTGAGCTTCCAGGTGTGTAATTGGTCAGATTGGTATCTTTTAAACCTGTGTGTTTGTGTGTGTTTGTGTGTGTGTGTGTCTTACCTTTCATCCAGTCCACCACCTGGCTCGTGCTCCATTTGCTCACCGGCTCCATCACCAGCGCCATCGAGGAAACTTTGCGCCGACTCTCCGTTGCGCGCAGGCAGCGTCGTTACTCCCCCCCGCGTAAAAAAAAAAAAACAGAGCTCACCTCAGCTCCCCTCCCCTTCCCCTCCCGCCCTCCTCCCCTCCCCTCACCTCCGCAGCCAGGTGACTCCTCTTTTTTTATTATTATTTTTTATTAATTTTTCCCCTTCTCTATTCTATTTATTTCACACTCTCCCGGTCCCGGTGCTGCTCCTGTCTCGGCCCGGTGTCGCGTCCCGTTAACGCAGCGCAGCCCTCGGTGCGGGACAGCCCGGGCGTGTGCGCAGCGGAATCCGGTACATTCCCCCGCTGGAGCCGGTCTGACATGTGTCGCCTCTCTCTCCCCCCTTTTTTCTTTTTTGTTTCCCTCTTCCCTCCCTTCTTTCCCAGTGCGCCAGTCCGGTCCTGCGCTCCCGGTATGTGTGTGTGTGATAGAGAGAGAGAGAGGAGTGTGTGTAGGTGTGTGTGTGCGCAGCCGCTCCGCTACCGACAGCAGCAGTGTAGGATAGATAAGTCACACCGGACTCAACACCCGGCAGCATCTCTCTCTCTCTCTCTCTCCCTCTCCCTCTCCCTCTCTTTCTCTGACACACACACACTCACATAAACACACACTCCAGATATGATTAATCCGTGCACGCGCCCTGTGGGTGGCTCTGCGCGCCCACGTGAGTGTATTTCCCTGTGGAGCGATAGAATCATGCAGATATGATGGAAAAGGGGAGATATTCTCAGAGGATATTTAATCAGGACGTGCCTCTATGTGTGTGTGTGTGTGTGTGGTAGGAGGAGGGAGATGAAAACATGGGGTACCTCCACACTTTCTGCCTCAGCTGCTGTGTGAGGAAACTTAATGACTCCGGTCAGCTCCACCTCCACTCCACAAGATCATTTCTCTGCTCTCCCTCCAACCATTTATCCTGCTCCCTGTTTTGGAATTCAGAAGCTCTTTTCGATGTTTAGCATGCGTCTCTTTTACAGGTTCAGATCGAGAAGAGTTCCAACAAAAAGAACACAAAAAAGATGAGAGACAAGAAACAACAACAGACAAAAAATGACCAAATAGAGATGCAACACAACGACAAAGTGATGTCAGATGTCTGTAAAAGATAAAAATGACCACAGAGAGACTTTACTTAACTCCTTAAGACCNCTGTATGTGCAGCAGGTTTTAATTATTTAAAACTCAATCATTTGATTCATTAGTTCTTCTTGTATTGAATGTGGTATAAAGAATCAGGGATTTAGCAGCAACTGCACCAATAACCACATTTTGGGTTTGGTAGCAACTGTAATATATATATGTTAGAAAACTATTCACAGATCTAAAAAAAAATAGTTCCACCACGAAATACGACCACAATCCTCTTGTTTATCATCACTTCTATCAATCGTTCTGTTCGGGTTATCTTAGATCTTTGTAGGAAACAGAACAATTCAGCTTTTTTTTCTCGCAGTTTTAAATGAGGTTATTAAACCTCATTTTCTAATATTGATGAGGTTTTATCGTGTCATATTTAAACCAGGACAGAGTGAGTTGATAATTGATAACTGATAATTAAACATTTTTCTCCATCTTATCAAACTGCCATAAATACTTTACTAGAAGGAAATCCAGTGCACTCTACAAAGAATAATCTGTCACCTCTTAAGCTCCATATTTTACTTTATTTTTTCAAATTTGTGCCGTCAGTCGGTAACACCTCCACAGCTGCGAGGCCAAACTGAACGACCCCCGTCCGTGGATCATCTGCGGATAACAATGAGCGTCCTTATCGTTTCCACCAGGCCGGAGTGAGACCGGAAAAAAACTCCAAATTAGCATCTTTAATCAGACTTTAGTCAGAAGCTAAACTGTACATCAGAGAGTGAGTAACAGCCTCACAAACAATGAGTCAGTGACAGTGATGTTACTGAACCTGTTCTAAAAATTCTCAACGGTAAAGTCGACGGAATTTAATGCGATGCTGCATCCATTTCAGTGACAGTATTACCGAGATACAGCCTGAAGATGCGGCCCGGTCCTGCTAAAGGAAGAAAAGACTCGAGGAAATTCTGCTAATCAGCGCTTAGTAGAAACTTATAATCTGCATAATTTATGAGCTTTGTGAACTTGTGAGTCCACTGCTGGACCCCAACTGGACCAGCAGCCTCCATTAACAGAGGAGCAGAGCTTTTACAGTCTCCTTTACTGTCTCCTACTAAAAATAGCAGTTTTGGGTGGAGTGTGAGTTTAATGATAACATCCATAATTTGGTTTTATAAGCCAATAACGCCCACCCAGCTCCATAAATCTCTCTGAAACTCAACTGTGAACCGCATTAAGTCTTAAAACATTGATACGTGCCATATGATGCCAGAACGGTACCCGACTTACGCAGCTGACTTTGGGCCAGAATGCTTTTACAAAACTCAACAGGCATAAAGTCCTGAATGACCTTCACATTTTCACTTTTTTTTTTGGCCAAACTAAATTTTCTAAATGGAACTTAAAGAATTGGCATCGCAGCTAAAAGTCGGCCGTTAATTTTAACTAAATTAGTTGAGATAATAAACGTGATTCATGGATGGAGCTTCCAGTGCAGCAGGTCTCCTTTTTGGCAGCTGGTTTTGGGGAAACCTGGGCGATATTGGTGCACACAGAACGTTTCTGAAGATGTTTTACGAGCATTAAAAGCAAGAGATGAACAAATTACATTCGGCGCAACAACATGGAGCCCTGAAGGGAAGTTGTTTCAGAGGGACTGACGCTGAAACCTCATGTTTATCTTTCATGTTTCGGGGTTTTTATGAGATTACGTCCGCATGGGATATGAATGAAATGTAAAATACGCAAAACTGCGTCATCACACACACACGGTGTGGAATCTGGAGAGCACATTGAAGCCACTTTTTTTTGTGTGTGTAAAAGAGTTTTGCAATGTTCACAAAGGCCCCTGGGTAGAGACCTAATCAGCCCGGCTGCTGAATTATGCATGACAATAATCTCTAGACCGATCACTGGAATGTATCAGCAGCGCTCTTATAAGCAAAACTCAATTACACTTTCAGATAAATACTCAGGCTTAGGTTCTTTTTGTACATGTGTTTAATTGATGTTTTCTTCTTAAAGACGCTGTTGTGATGCTCCTTATTTGCTAATCTCCTTCTGACAGCACTGGTGATGACAGAAATTTACATATTTAAGGCCACTAACAGTCTGAAAGGATGTGTATAGAGCTCAGCCCTGCTTTGTTAAGGCCTGATTGTTGTGTTTGTGCATGCAGCACAACTCCGTGTGGGCGTCCACGGTGAGCCTAAAGTTCAAATCTGTGGAACTTTGACTTGAGCTGTGCTGACAAGCGCGGATGCATCATGCTTGAATAGACGAAAAAGTAATTAACCTCACATTAAAGGTTTACAGTAACAAATTGAACTTGAAAAAACTGCCTCTTGGCAAAATATCCACATGCAGATGCAGCGAGCAGGTTGGTTACAGAAACACTGTATGAGTCTCTGAAGCGTAATAATCGACCTCAAGCAACTTTTGCAACACAAAGTGATGAATATTGCAGATCATGTAGTGTAAGATCAGACTGTATAGAGATGGACAATATGCCAACATTTCATCCTACTGCACAAAAGTGAAGCCAAAATATCTCTGAAACAGGCACTGCTGCCGTCATTTGCAACCAGTTTGGTCAGTAGTGATAATAATGATTCCACCTCCGTGCCGGCCCAAAACGCAGCTGGCATTGAACTAAGCATAGCTGCTGCAATCTTTACTTTCATGGACACTCGCTGTACACTTCATCATTTCCTAGATTTAAAAAAAAAAAAACTTTAGCTGCAGCTCGTGGTCCATCTATCTCGCTATATCTCTCTCAGCGACCACTTAGTTGACTGAAAAAGCTGCAAACATCCCCAGATGCCTCAGAACATTATTTCGTGCAGTTTACTGCAGAATGACTCATTTAGTGGTTTAAAACACAAGATAAACCACACAGTTAGTGGGTGTGTCAACCAAATAGTTTTTTATTCCTGCAGCCAGGGTATTTTTTCAATTATCTGCAATGGAAGCATGTTTACACCATGATAAAAACGCGGCATCGTGACAAGGTGTCTACTGAACACTGAGCGCATCACACTTGCAGTTTTTTTCTGGTTATGAGAGTTTAAAAAGATTTTTCAACTTTGGTTAAAACGCCGTCACTTTTTACTCCCCACCTGTTCAATCACAGTGCAGGAGGGGCGGGACAAAGACCAGACTGACCCAACGTCACGAACAACAGCTGAACTAGATGTTAATACTGTTGTTCTCTAAGTATCCAAGTCCGCACCAGGTGATACTCCTGGATTACTACAATAATAAAATGAATGCTTGGAGGAACATTCTGTTCACCATACCAGGTAAGCAGCAGTCAGCTGAGTCATCCAGTTGATTGGTACTTGCAGCAAATTACTTCTGCAGATATTCCTCATCATAGCAACCAAAGCGTCTAAAGCACTCCCAGTTGGGAGTTTTTTTCGAGGAGCTTCTGGCTTTTTCAGCTGGCACACAGCCTTCAGGAAAGGAGAGGTCCTTTTATTTTCTTAAATACAGTTCCTGAGCAGATGTCCACAGGTGAATCCACAACTGTTTTTTATTCACATCAGCTGTTATCATAAGGACATGCACCCTTTTTATAATATCAAGTAAGATAAGCTTTTATTAATCCAACGGTGGGGAAATCTGCAATGTTACAGCAGCGACACTGACAGTGCAAAGATGTGGGGACAGCGGTGGAAAAATAAACAAGAAATATACATAAGTACTGCTAATAATGTACAGATTCAATGATATTTAGAAATGTAGATATTGCACAGATCCCTCTTTATGTGGAAAACAATGATATGCACAGGATTATTCGAATTTGTAAACAAAGATTGATATTGCTCAGATTGTAGTAAAAACTGATATCTGTAACATTCAAGGGAAAATTAGGTATTTAATATGACAGA